CCAACCAGAATTGCATCACACCAACGCTTCTTAGTTCGTTTAATTTAGAATTTATAAAAACCTGATCGTACGAACTGAAAAGACATGGTAGATATTAAAATAATTAAACATTAAAGTATCTTTAGGAATGAGTCAAGCAATAAAGGATAATTGGTAAAGTTTAACTTAGGACTACGTAAGAAAAGATGTTTTTTCTCTTGGCAAAACTACTTCCTCGGTAATTTATATTGCTTTAAAAAGCTATTTTTAGAATTTTAACCCTAGAACACTAACCATGGGTATATAGTACCCAGCGCAAACTTTCGTATTTTTAATTACAATTACCTGATTTTCTTATCTAAATAATGTTTTCCAGTTCCTATTAATGTTAACTCAAAGTACAAAGTTTGAAATGCCTGCATGTAAAATATTTCAAATAAAGATTTATATTTAATATTTTTTTGATATTTTCAAAATCGGGTATGATATACCCATGGTTAGTAGTGGTGTAACTTTAACTGATGGTTAGTGTTCTAGGGTTAATAAGACCATAACAAAGCCATATTTATAATAAATATTTCATTGTAGCTTGCTGACATAATTTTTATAATCTTATAAATACAAGATTATTCTTATGAGCTAATGAGATTGGTTGATTGTTTTTTACGGCTTATCAACTCTTTGCAGGTTATTTAAAGTCAGAAAATATTTTTAGAATGTAATTTTTTTTTTTGAGATAATGGGTGAGTAATACACGTCTTACTAATTAACCCATAGCTGGGGAACTGATGGATTCATACCTAATCAAAATTTGATAAACAAGAAATTATAATGTGGATCTAAAGTGGAGGATCAATTCTATCCTACAATCAATATACAAAGTGATCCTTCACTTTGTGGCCACGGTAGTTTCTATCCATTTATATTCCAGAGAATGTAAATAAATGTAAAAGTCATGCCTGTTTAGCTAATCAGTATTTCATTGACTGATTGATTCGTTTTCTACAGCTTATCAAGAACCAAGAAATTATAAGTGGATATAAAGGGGGGTTCAATTCTACATTACAATCAGTATATAAACTGGTCCCTCACTTTACGGTCACGGTGTTTCTATACATTTCTATTCCAGAGAATGTAAATAAATCTAAAATACATTCCTGTGTAGCTAATCAGGATTTCATTGATTGATCGATTCGTTTTCTTCTGCTTATCAACCCTTTGCAGATTAATTAAAACCAGAAAATATTTTAAAATTTTTTTTTTGGTGGGGGAATTATAATGGTTTAGTGATACAAGTATTAATAATTAACCCATAGCTAGAGGGAGAAGGGATGGATTCATACCTTTTCTCAATACTATTTGCGCGTAAGTGGATATAACGAACCCAACGGGAATTGGAACTCGGCTCTCTGATTAACAATTCCGAGACATTATGCATTACACAACCCACACATTCAAGCTTACAGCCAAATATTTCCAAACAGTCATCCACCTATATACTGACCAGGCTCGACGTTGCTTAACTTCGGTGATCATACGGGAACCAATGTTTCAACGTGACCTGGCGGTAATCCCAAAATGAATTGAAAGAATATTTTATAATCTTGTAAATAAACGAGTTCATTTTTAGAAAAAAGGAGATGGAAGAAGATTTAGAATAAGAAAGGGACGGCTGAATTTTTTTTTCGATATATAATGAGGAAAAGCGAGTATTTGCTCAGTTTCCCTACTGAGCAACTTTTCCCCAGGACCGAGCACCTCTCAGTATCTTTCCCCAGCTGCGTTGCCGTCCGCAGACAAAGACATAAATGAGTCGTACTCTGCCCAAAGACAGAGACGAAACTGAGATATGATAAACCTAGCCGGCATGGACCGGGAAAAGCAGCTTCAAGAATTTGACACTCATATGACATAATGAGGAAAGAGGGCTTGGAAAATCTGATACTCACAGGACATAGCGAAGGCAAAAAGGACATAACCTGCGTATCAAGCCCCTGTAAATGAATGTCAGAGCAGAGAATTTGAAGGTCAGTAGAAAGTAAACATAAGATCTACAAAGAACAGGTGGTGGGGGGTCCCCTATGTCCTGAAGGTACATGACACATAAAAGAAGATTAATCAAATAAACTAGAAAGACCAGTAAAAATTTCGCGGTTTTCCTTTTTAAATTTTCTGATGAATCTTAATTCTTAAGTTAATGATTGAATAAGCTCATGACGAGTTCTATGACTCTAACATATCTGTAAAAAATCCACCTATCACATCGTTAAATATTTGAGCTTAACAACTTTAACAAAATATTGCAATAACAATCATAAATATGAATGATCGTCGTTATTTTAAGAAGTAAGGGGATACAAATGAAAAGATTTCAAACTTCACTGAAACAGAAATACAATTCCTTTTTCTTTTTTCACTTTCTTTCTTTCTTTTCCTCACTGAAACCAAGTAGAAACAAACAGAATATTCCATTATTAAATACTTTTATATTCCCTTTCTTCTTCCTTTCTTTCTTTCTTTCTTTCTTTCTTTCTTTCCAAATTCGTCTTACTTCTTTTCTTTCTTAAAAATAATTCAGCAGACGATTTTAATTTGGTCACTGAAACCAAGTAGTGTCTTTACACCTATTTTCACGCGATCAAAACGGAATATTCCATTATTTATGAAGAATTGGCAGTAAACGTTAAACTCATTCATCTTCCTTCCTTTAGTTACAATTTTCCTTTTATAATTTTGGAAATAAACAATTAAATCATTAAGCATCGTTTAACATTTTTTGTTGTCAGATAACCATTCCCAGAATCCTTACACATCATTCGCCCATGCTTTTTCCCTTCCATGGATTATTTTTCTTGATAAAATCCAAGAATAAATTATTGGTCCACTTCAGTCACTTTTTCCACAAGTTTTTTTTATAAATACTTTCATAGTAATTGCTTATGAACTCTTCGCTATATTTTTCTATTCTAACAGTTTCTTTTCTCGCACTTCTCGCTTGTGGAACTCTATTCCAGTCAACCGTTATCTACTGTGTTCCTTAGTTCTAGAATAATATTTCTTTTTTTCTCGTTTTTTTTTTTTTTTTATTTTAATTTTTTGATTTTAAACAGTACGTGAATTACGCCTAACCGGCCTATGCATTATTTTACGAGAGATAAGCAAACTTTTCGTCTCTTCATAAAATCATTTTGTCGTTTTGAGAAAACATTTTCGCATTAAACATGCTCATTTCTTAAAATCAAATCATATCACAATTTAAATTGAATCGACGAGCACGCACATGTGGTGAGCCCATATAATAAAATGAAATAAAATATGAAAATAAAATATATAAACAAAAAGGAATACAAAATCTGAAATAAAAAAAAAAACAAAAAAGAAGCATTTAAAAAAAAAAAAAAACGAATTCCGAAAGATAAAACAAGATTGAAAAAAAATCACTTATTTTAATAATTTGGAATCATTTTCATCTAGTGATTGAGTTTCTTCCGGGTAGAACATTTTCGCAATGCACAGGCTGACACAAATCATAACAATTTAAATTCATACAAAATTTGATTGAAAAAAATCACTTATTTTAATAATTTTGAATCATTTTCTATCTAGTGATTGTGTTTCTGTCTTTTCGCATCAATTTTTATTAAATTTTCGAAATATGTTCTTTCTTTTTGATTGACTCTGTATATAGGACGAATGCAAATAAAATTTGTCACTTAATTGATTTATGTTGTATTAAGCACCTCGACTCCAGAGTTTCGTAATCGAAGCTGTTCGTAAACGTTCAGTCCACTCGTCAGGAGGTTTCAACAATTGACTGACATTTTTCGTTATTTTCGTACGAAGTTTGATGTCATTCATATAAGCGATAGTTGGGAACTATTATTATTATTATTGGTGTTAGGTAGATAAACAAGAAAAAGAAGCATTTAAACAAGATTGAAAAAAATCACTTTATTTTAATAATTTTGAACTATTTCCTATCTAGTGATTGCGTTTCTGTCTCTGCCTCTGCCCATGCATTGAGTGCTGATGGCTTAGGGGTAGAAACTCCGACTGACACCAAATCGGTCTGGCTTGATACAACGAAACAGTACTGTCTGCGAATGACATAATTAAGCTTTGAAAATATATTTCAATTGAGCACTCTTGAGAGACATCCTAATTTTACAAACAGCAGCCGCCTACACTAAAACGCAAAGCTCATCGGTAAAGAAAAAAAAAAAGAGAGAGCAGATTTCGAAAATTTCATAAAACAAATGTCAAGAGAGAGAGAAAGACATTCAACCCATTACTGGATCGAAAAAGATTCAAAATTATTAAAATAAATTAACTGACTTTCAATCTTATTTAACTGCTTCTTTTTCTTGTTTTTCCCAGATTTTGTATAAATTTAAATAGTTATAATTTGTGGAAAAAAGGATCTTGTTCATCGTTGCCTCCCAGATCTCCAGATCTCACCCCATGAGATTTTTATCTGTGGGGGGATATGTAAAAGAATTGTGTTTGGCAGCTACTCTTGAAGATTTGAGACATCGAATTGTTGAAGCTGTTAAGTCAATAACCAACGATCAAATGACTCAAGTATAGCAAGAAGTCGAATACCGTTTTGACGTTTGTCGTGCAACACATGGTGCACATGTGGAGTGCATAGAAGTTGAAACAGCTTAAAATAATAATCTTTGAAGATTTTTCTCATCCAGTCATGTGATAAATGTTTTTCTGTCTCTTAGCACCTTAGCATTTGTTTTTATGAAATTTTAAAAATCTTTTTGAATAACTATATATATATATGTATGTATATATATATATATAATAAAAATATGTGCTATATTTAAGCGTTAAAATGCTCAAAATAAGAGATATAGCGTATATAAATATAAAAGTGGGCATTGAAGTCAACACCCATGACCTGAAGATTGCGTTTAAGCATGAAACAGACTGTCGCCGTTCGGTGTTGACTTCAATGCATTGCTTGGATCCCGTTGCGGAAGAAACTTTCATTCTAATGGTCAAAATAGTCATCAACAGCAGATATGACATCATAATCACTGCAATGTTTTTTCATGTTGGGGAACAGATCATAGTCAGATAGGGCAAATCAGGCGAATAGAGAGGGTGATAATCCAGCTGCATTCACGCACAGCAGTCATTGAAACCAATTGTGCACTGGAGTATGAAACAAGACAACTTTCATCAGTTTTCATGGTCGTTTGATCTTTATAGCTTTTCGTAACTGCCTCAACAAGTTGGCATAGTACTCTCCGTTGATGATGTGGCCCTTCTGAAGATAAACAATAATAAACACAATGCCTTTTGCATCGAAAAAAAGCTGAGGTCATTCTCTTTCCTGCAGATGAAACGACTTTGGCTTTTTTACCAGATTAGGAGGTGTGTTTCAACTGCATGGATTGTCTCTTTGTCTCTGGCTCAAAGGGAAGAACCCAACACTCACCTTGTGTTAAGAAACGTCCAAGGTAACCAGCTAGATCTGCCTTAAACAATGTCAGATTTTCCCGTGATATGATCAGCCTGGGGCACTTTTGATCAAGTGTCAGAGGACGTGGCACCCACCGAGCAGAAACCTTTATCATGCCAAGTTCATTGTTCAGAATATTCTCAACTTTTTCACTGCATACGCTAAAAACATTGGCTATTTGATTTACCATCAATCGCCTGTCATCCATCACCATGTGTTGAACACGATCGAGGTTTTCTTCGTGTTGGCAGTTACAGGACGTCCATACAGTGGGTCATCTTCAAAAGTCTCTCCTACCCCTCAGCTTCCCACTTTGGGACTAAAACCTTTTTCTGTAGGTACTTGATGACACCATGATGCCAAATTTTATTCATTTTCAAGAGAAGTCACTACTATGTGCACGCATCCCTCGATTAATGCGCTTTCAATTAGTGCGCTGACCTTTTTTATACCAAAATTTGATTAGTGCATGTATAATACTCAATTAATGTGGTAAAACACTGTTCAGTTTAACCATAGTACCGTAATTCACATGTATAATACGCCTTCATCCATAATATGCACCGCTAAAATTGTCTGTGCTAAAAGTGTGGGAAAATGCTTCTACTCATGCATAATACGCACCCCTTGTTTGGTAATCAAACCCTATAAATTGTATCACTTCAATTTCATTACGGCTAGCGTTTCCTATACTTATTAAAAATGGTTTTAAATATAGAATAATATTATTCTAATTTAGTTTTATGATAATTCTTATTTTATTTTACATTTTTAAGTATTGTTAGGTACATAGGATTGTATTTGACATCCTTATGGGGTTGCAATCACCGAATGTTAGTGGCAAATTATCGTATATTTGTGGTGAGTAGTCATTTTGCAACTGAAATCGACCTTCAGTATCTGCCTATATTTCTGAGATGAGGTATTATATACATTATTTACATTATTCGGACTATTGTCCTCATCTTTGTCGCCATATTTATTACAACGTTTCGGCCGCAATATGAGCTCTGGTAAAAATATGGAATGATAATAGCAAAAATTGCAATATGAGCACTGGTAAAAAAAGGTGGCTGAGGACATTAGGTTTATAATACCCAGAAATTCATACACAGATGTCCTCAAGGACACGTGGCACAGTGGATAAAGGCATTAGTTAGATCCAGAACCCAAAAGGGTGTAAGTTCAAAACAGTCAGTGGAGGATTTCAGCGGGAAATTAACTGATAACTGACATCCATTAAACATGGCACGTGAAACTAGAACAGTCTACCCCAGTGAGCGAAATAAAGGGTTCAGTTCGACATTCCAACCACCTGAAGAAGGCCGGCGCAGACAACGGCCGAAACGTTGTAATAAATATGGCGACAAAGATGAGGACAATAGTCTGAATAATGTAAATAATGAAATCGACCTATGAAACGGCAATTTTTTAAAGATTTTTTGTAGCTGTGCACCCCAAATTTTGCTTATTATTTTTTAGGAAAAAAATGCGTATTATACATAGGGATTTGCGGTAAGTGAAAATTGATTTTTTATAGTTACCGATTAATTAAACATTTTCTAGAATTTAAAAATGGAAAATGGTTAACTATTTTGTTTGTTAGTTTCATTTTTATTCGATGAATGCGTTTTCGATTAGAGTGTATCTTTTAATGTAGACATTAGCGTATCATTTAATGTAGACATTAACATCGAGGGATTCCTGTACTTTTGAAATCTTCTTTGAACAGACAGATGTCAGATTACATAAAAAAAAACGAAACAAAAAATAAAAACAATACAGTTATTAATAAGAAGAGTTAAAATTAACGCATGCTAGATTTCACAGCTCTAACATCGTTCCTTCATAGTCTATAAACGTTTCAGCTGACCTATCGTAATAAAAAATACTGTCGGATTAATTAAGCAAATACCTGTCTATGTCAATAAGATGTCCTCCTTGGTCCCGGCAGTATTTTTCGGCTTGGGGTTGGCTGAGGCGGTAAATAGAATTAAACTGGAAGCAGCTTTCTTGGTGTAGTTCCCATCCATCTTCACAACTTCCTGCAAAAAATTTAAAGGTTAATCAGTGACACCTGTCAGAGAAATGACCATGGCTTTTGATATAGATTGAGAATAAAAAAAAAAGAAAAGAAAAAAAATGTTACTAGAAATACTTCGTGAAGGGTGAAATTTTACAAAGTCACAAATACTGTAAATAGTAAAACTACTGTAGCATCTTAAATACAGCTGTACTTTTTGACTACAGTAAATGGATATATAGTTTGGTCGACGGTGTAGCCAGGGCCAACAGTACATCTGCTAATTTTATATCTCATGTATGATGCGACCCTCTTAAAATTAGCTTCAAAATTAAGTCTTCAAAAGTCGTATAATACATGAGTATATACAATATATATAACAAACCAATCTATAGGAATATTTTTTGGAATTTACTTAAATCCTGTCTAGATTATAGAAATGGATAGCATTTACACTGGCCAAAAAATGGGGGATGTGTTTAATACTAAAGAACAATACAAAACTGATCCCTCACTTTTTATCATCTATTCATTTGAGAACCTATAAGGATGTTTTGGAATTTCATCTATGAATCTAATATTTGCCAAGATATGGGGGATATGTTTAGTACTAAAGAACAATACAAAATTGATTCCCCACTTTCTACCATCCCTTCCTTTGATTTTATAAGGATTTTTTAATTACCGTATATACTCGCGTATCATGCGACTCTTGAAGACCTAATTTTGAAGCTAATTTGACTACAATAAAGGGATATATAGTTTACTCAACGGCGTAGCCAGGACCAGCAGTACATACGCTAATTTTATATCTCGTCTATGATGCGACCCTCTTAAAATTAGCTTCAAAATTAGGTCTTTATAAGTCGTATGATACTCGAGTATATACAGTAATTCAAATATTGTTACCTTTTGTGTCCTTATTTCTTGTTCTTTTGTTGATTTCTCCCCTTAAAAATGATTTTTCTCATATTCTCTCACACTCAGTAACTCCTTGCGCATTAGTGGCTTTATTGCCTTGTTTAGGGTGAAATAATTAAAAATATTACTTGGAAACTTGTAACCCGACTGGATTAGAAATTACTGTATTCTTTTAAATCAGAATATTTTTACTGTATTTTGCTATGTCGGGATTGTGCTATGATGTGCCGTTTTCGCTTTTATACAGTAACACACAAACAATCGCAGAGAAATTGGGTCATTATTAGGTAGTTAAAAAGAGAGAAAGATTTCCGCCATATAATCACTAACAACTCTGAAGCAGAGATGGTTTGAGCGACGTTTATTTACGATGAAATCCCGAAATGTTTGATGAAAAGTCGAGTCTTGTTACGAGGGGCTTCATTTCTATTTCAACACTTTCTTCAAGCGGTGAAAGAGATAATGTTTATGCAGAGTGTTATGGTATAAAACCCGAAATCTACAATTACACATGGCTCCACCATTATTTATATTCTTTTACTTAAGGTTGTAAAAGAATATAAGTGGAGATGAAAATTGATTCTTTTGTTCTTCCTCGTTACTCGTACAGTATCCGTAAAACAAAAAGGAAACAGCAATGTGTGACACTGTCACGACATCGTTTGTGTCGCGAATTGGTGTTTGGCAATTACGGTCGTTGTTCGGTAGTAGGCCGCCTAGTTGTCTCGCTGCATTAATCTCCACGGCTGTCGTCGATCCAATACACCAAAGTCACTTGTTTCTGTTTCTTACTGAAAGTCAAATCATCTCTCCTTTGCCTAGGAGAAATGTTTTCCTGTACTAATAACTAAAACGATGTTATGTATTGGTTACTTTTATTTTGTTCAGTAGAGAGATTTTGCCGACTATTTGCTAGTGATGGAGAGAGTGTAGTGAGTGAGAGAAACACCAATTGAGACTGTGTGTTTATTGGCGACAGTCTGTTCCGTGCTTGAGCGAGATTTGTATGTGTTTTGTTATATATCTATATAAAAGGTCTTTCTTTGCACTGCGTCCTATATAAAATTTCATATAGGACACAATGAAAAGAAAAATCCAAATTCTGGAGACTGTTGTAATAAAAGAGAGGTAGACAACTTTGCATCAGTCTTCATAGGTTTTGTGACGCACGGTGGCTGTTAATGATTAAGTATAACTCAAGACTCCAATGTTAAATAAAACAGTATTTAATTACAACCGCAAATAAATACTTAACAAAAACAAAGAAGTAAAAGTCAACCAAAGATAATAAACCATTTCAGTGAATATCTTGTTAGTAGCGCGGCTCGGCTTAACGTCCGGTAAATCCTAAATCAAAACCCAAATCATCGACACACAATAATTCACACTAATTCGACTGGATAGTTCTACTCAATGATCACTGCAGTCAGTAGGCTGACACCGCTATTCATATACTTGGTGGAAAACATAGGTCCAGAGTCTCACGTACGAGCCTCATTTTCTTCCTATATCACAATAGGAGATAGTATATTGAAGTGGATAGCGGCTCGGATTGAGGAATCGGAGAGCCGAGTTCGAATTCATTACATTCACTTACGTGCTAATACCCTTTGGAAAAGTATGAATCCTTTTCTCCCTCCAACTACGGGAAATAATAGGACAGTCCGGGTTCTATAGCCTTGGAGAGCAACTGGTCTACTGTAGAAAGAAATGGCAACGTACTGCGGGAAAAATCTGCCTCGTCAGTCATGTATCGAAAGATACATGATCGTCTAAACGTGTATCACGCATGGCACATAACTCACTGATATTGCAGTATGTTAAGAATATATATATAAAAAACATAAGAACTTCAGTGTGACCGTTTATATGGCGTGAGCTCGAGTGAATTGAAATTGATTGTATCAGTTGCGTAAATATACACAATACAACTCATAAAAAAATGTAGCGACTTTCGAAAGTACCCAGGAAGAAAATAATATAAAATAAAAATAAATATGAATTTACCAATTTACCAATAACGCAAAACACCCAATTCATAAATTTGAAAAATTAAGTATAAAAATTGGTATTTACACTATTTACATTGTTCGGACAGTTGTCCTCAGTCTTATTGCCATATTCACGACGTTTCAGCCAGTGTATAGTCCGGCCTTCTTCCTGTGATATTTGTTGGAACAAATATATACGCTCCGGCTTTCTTCAGGTAATATATGCAATACAATAATAATACAATATCTCATCTCAGAAATATAAACATAATGATTGATAGACATTACTTGTCCGTATTATTTAACCACACACACACACACACACACACACACACACACACACACACACACACACACACATATATATATATATATATATATATATATTTTTAGTTGGATTGATGTGAGTAACAAACTCACACCAATCTAACTAAATATGTTAGCTCTATCACTGATATTGAGCGCTTTCCAATAAGTACCGCATCCAATATAATGCATAAATAATATATATATATATAATAAATTGCACATATATATATATATATATATATATATATATATATATATATATATATATATACAAGTATAGGATTGGTATATAATAATAATAATAATAATATATATATATATATATATATATATATATATATATATACAAGTATAGGATTGGTATATAATTTTGTAGTGATTTTATAACATATTTATGTTATAATTTTCGAATAAATAATTATATATATAATTATATATATATATATATATAGAAACGTTGACAAATATATATATGTATGTATGTATATATACATTTCACACACACACACACACACACATATATATAGGGTGCGATGGGTAAATTGTTCCCAATTTATATTTGTAATTTCGCGCATGCGTGTTGTTTGTTTTTTTATTTTGTCGAGTGCACAGTATCGTAGGGTCAGTTGGGCACCGTCTATGAGAAAAAGAGCACCATGACGCAATTCATTCCGATAGAAATTTGGAAACGGCACCCTGTACTGTTCGCTTTAGTAGCATCCATTTGTATCATCACCAAAATGATCGACTAGACTTGGCAACAATTAACACGATTTTAATGTTTGCTTAAGAATTGCATACTTGTTGCTGTGAAACAAAAAATGCAAAGTTTTACAACTGATTCTTCCTTGGAATAAACAAGCTGACAGCTGGTATTACTGGTGTAACTTAAGCGATTCCGCGACAATTTTTCATAACAGAACGCAACCTACCCGTGACTGCATCCAAGCTGGTCGCCACATGCCATCAAACTGGTATTATCACCAGCACACTTGAATATATTAAGATTTTCACAATGAACTCCATCCTCAAGTAATTCAATCTAATTGACTCACTTAATCCCATTGATTCAAAAAGTGTCAGTTTTGTCTTCCATTATGCTCACCAACTCATCCTATTAGTTAATACGCGATAAGAAAAGAGGAAATGCCTTTTTTTAGTATGCCATCGAAACCTCATATTCGCAAAAACGTGGTGAGTGCAGAATTTCGAAAAAAAAAAAATTCCCATAGATGTTCTTGTCGTGTTGGTCTGACGTAAGGTCAGTTTCCTCAGAAATTAACTTGTTTAGTCAAAACAACACTTGGGTTTGTTTTCGCAAATTTCCTCAAAACCGCATTTAATAATCCAGTTCCACTTTCCTGTTCCTGTCTTCTACATATCATCTTTCTGCGTGAATAAAACGATTTTTATGAACTTGCAAAATAACCACTTTTAAATTTTCTTTTCCTTAAAAAATAGAATAAACTTTGTTTCGTTTGAGTACGTTAACGATTTTTTTGCCATCTTTTCAATTCCATAATCTTATAATATTGTCGTATGTTATGATTTGTGAAGATGATGATATTTCATTCCAGAAATAAAGATCTGAAATGTTATCATTATAAAAACTACCTTTCCACCACAGGCAACAGTAGCAGTAGTAAAAAGGAACAACACAGACTGGACAAGACGTATCTTCTTCGCTCCGTGAAAATCGAGAGTTGACGACCTCAAAAGCTTCCCTTAACCACGAAATTCTCGGAACAATTATAAAGTAAGCCCAAATTTTAAAGAAACAAAAAGAGACAATAACCTTGCG